ATTTAAGATTTGTAGCGAATTGTCGCTACCATCCTTCGACGAATAGAAAATCTCGCGAACACCGCGCACAAACTTCCCCAGCTATGTTACGCAATGCCTCCCATGTTTCTCCATACTTATGGCAACCGCAAGCTGGTTAGCGGTAGTTATTTATCTAGTTAATTTCTAATAACGACCACATTATTTTAAAAGGAATGCCACTCAGATGGCTCGTTTGGAATGTATTTCGTGTTAGATTAGTAGAAAATATTCCTCCTACGCTTATTGAATCTTTCTGCTCACTCTTTGCCATTAGTAAGCAACTGGTTTTTTTTTTAATGGCATGAAAATGGAATGGTAACTGCATCTGCGCTATTAATTTACACTGGTAAGACACCAATGAATACGAAGTCAGGCCAGTCGGTTCTACGTCATTAATTCCCCAGGGAGAGGAAGTTCACATAATAGGGTGGGTACTATTGCTAGCAACTTTGCGATTAATCTCCGTTACTAAAAATATTTAATGATATTTATCAATGTATAGATAAATAACTCGACCGAGGGCATTCCGAACAGGTATTAATAAGATTCCGCAACTGCGGATAAAGATTTTGACTTGGCTCATCATATGTTTGCTAGTTATGAATTTAAAATAACCACAAACATAATGTTTATTGAAAGCTTAGTTTATATTTTTAATATGCACCAAAAGTACTTTACAGTTTAAACCGAATTATCACGGGGGAATAAAATATTGCATGTTTTCTATAAAGACTCCTTTTCGAATGGGATACAATGATTATTTGTATATTTGAAATATCAAAAAATTCGAAAGAACACTGAATCAAATATAAAGAAGTTCATTTTAAAATATTTACAACTAGCTTTTCTATAATTAAAACGTTCGATTTAACACATGTTAAAGTAAGTATAAGAATTAATAAATATTTTTAATAGGTATAAGCGAGAAACATAACTTATAAATAAGTTATGTCCTAACTTAGCACATAGGTAGATAAATGTACTAATTCACGCGGGCAAAGACGCAGTATGCTGGTAGTTCAATAAACAGTGCAACGTATAAATATATAAGTCTTAGTCAATCGGTACCCTAGACTATTACCACAATAAATAAGATTTCGCTTCTAGTAAAATATAAATCACATCATTGTGAAATTGTGTACGACACGAAAATACGTCTAAGTAATTGCAACGTTTCATGTTTCTTATAAATTGAGACCTCTTAATCGCTAATTAACTAACCTTCGAAAATCGGAGACAACCTCTTTAAGTACAAAGCAAACGAGGTATCAAATAACATTTGAACGCACTAGACTTTATTCGTGACTTTGTCTGTATGATCGGAATGAATTGATTAGCCGGGATATAAAGTAGTGTGTGTCCTTCTCCACCGCAAATAGTACGTGTATACCTACTAAATTTTATGACATTAGTTGAGTTATTAAAGTATCAAAATGCAACAAAGAAACTCACTTTTACGTTTATAATATTAGTAAGGATACGTTTTATTTTAATCTTATAAAAAATATCTCTACTGATATGAGATGTAGTTTCATGATGCTAAAATCAGTATCTTGTATTTAGTATTTAGTTACATATTTGTTTATTAATACATCATGAGGTTATAAAACTGTTATGTAAATATATTAATTAATCGTCCTCTACATGGATCCCGTTAGGGTGTTGCAAATTATATATATAATAAGTTTATTTCAAAATAAATGTAACAAACATTTTTAAATATATGTGACACCTATCATTAAATATATAATAATAATATATACTATAATTATAATTTCTTAATTTCCTCGATAAATAAAATTTATTATATATTCAATTTATTTTCCTTTCTCGTTTTGAGGTACACACTATATTTACTGTAATTTGCTTTGTGCTACAGTTTTAAACAAGTTGATTCACAATAGATCCGGCAATTAAATTTTATACATTGATATACTTTTACGACTTTTCGTAGTTGCTTTATTGAACCATTTTAGCTGCATTTTCTGCTAAAGAGCTGTACCCATAGCTACACTTACATCTAGTATCACTAAAGCCTTTATTTGACAAACGAATGTAAACTTTCAAAGTAATATAAATTTAAATAGGAGTGTGTAAAAATAGAAAAGTCTAGTGAAAAGCGGTTAAATTAATATTCTGGTCCACGATATATCTCTCTGCCTAGTTTTTAAAATTGGACGTACCGATATAAACTTAGGAAAAAATGGGACTCATTGACTGATCGAAATCCACATCACTGAATTAGCTAGCTTATTGTTAAACTGAGCAAACCTGGGGATTTATACTACTACGTTATCTGTAATATATACGATTATAACGTTCTTATTACATGCCAGGTATAACATTTTTTTTATTACTTTCAAAGTGTTTACTTTAGAAGAATTAAAACTCAATAATTTTTACCAAAGAACATAACTTGATTAGAAAAATTTTCAACCGACCTTGAAACTTGGAACATACTTCTGTATTTGTATTTAACCGGATGCCTTTGCCAATTTCGAATTAAATTTGAGGATTGTTTTTCTAAAAGAAAAATAATTTTTAATACATGAATAATAAAAATTCTTTTTCCAAAAATTGTCTATTTATTTTACAAACGACTTTTCGATTGTAAATTTTAATAAATTGTAGTTGTACTAGTTATAGATTTATAAAGATTAAGCTGCTAGAATCAGTGATTTAGTAATAATATTACCTATTCTATATTTATTAATAGCTCTTAGTGCAATATACACTATCTTAATCGTACGTATATATAATATACGTATCCTTGTATGTTATTTTTTAATATTTAATTTTATATATAAGTAATTATTACAATGGTATAATAAGTAATTATTACATTCATCCAGTACTAAATTAATTTTGAAATGGTTGATAATAAACGGTATAATTATTATTTTTGCAACTAAAAATTATACGCCTATTATTTATAATTAAAAGTTATAGTTTTTAGGGTTCCGTGCGAAAAGGTATAAAGGAACTCTTATGGCGCGACTTGACCGTCCGTCCATCTGTTACAGCGCTATATCACGTTTGTATTTATAGTAAGTTTATTATTGTAATCTTATGAAGTAAACTGTAAAAAGTATCTAGATATTTATTTATTTATACTTTTGTACACATTAAAATATGTCTACAGGGCGGACTTAATGCCTGATGGCATTCTACATAAGTCAATCGTTACGTTAAACAGGGAGAGTAAATGATATCTATCTATCTACCTCAGCAAATATTAATGTTGTCGATTTGATATTTGGAATAGTTTTACGCATCATTAGCTTGCGTATATCGAATGGTATAATTGAAACAATATTTTTATTTCTAACTAGCTTTTAGCTTTTTTTTAGACCAAACAGAGTACTCAAAATTTTAAAATCGACCTGTTAGTCAAAGTGAATTATCATATGAAAGGGCTTCATTTTTATATTTTAAAACGGATTTTTATTTATTTTTATGATCTGTTACTTTTTATTTAAATAAATCATATTACAAGAAGAATAAAACGACATTTCTACATCTTTATTTGTAATGTTTTTGAGAAATTATCACAATACCTCCAAAAACAAATTTGGATCTGCGGTCTTGTTTTTAAACACAATTAAGTATATATTTTTTTATATTTACTTATATAATATATTATTTATTTCTTTTGTTTTTATCAATAAATAAATACTTTTATATGAATACAATTACTTCATAAATGGAATAAATATTGTTTAATACTAAGTAATATATTAATTTAAAAATACCTTTATAAAATATGACAAATATATTGCTCTTATGTGCAACTAACTATCATTGATTATGTAATTTGTTTTTATTACGAAAATACATAGAGAAAACGAGATAGTTTAATTCACCGCAAACAATTAATGCGTGAACGCGTAAAACCAGTTTCACACAAAATGATAAATCCGTATTATAAATTAACTTTAATAGTAATGATAACCGTGTTTTAGTTTCAAATATTTCACGTCTGATAATGCATAAGTGTTAATTATTTACAAGAAAAATATTTATTTGTGCAACTAACTTTTAACTTTTTAACTAACAACTAACTTTGGGTAACTAGTCTATAGATTTGACAACGAATATTAATTTATCAACAGACATGGGTACATTGATGCATGTTTCTCATTTTGTGTGTATATATATTTATACTATTTGAAAATAGATTTATTTAAATATACCATCTATATAAAGTCTATAGGGTTAACGTTAACTCTATTCAAACAAGGCAGAAAGATATTATATAGACCTTATTTAATGGGTATGAAAAAAAAAATAGTTTTATACTAATCGCTTCTTTATGAACACTATCCGATAATGATAATTAATTACATTGGCTATAAAACTATGTTTTAATAACTCTCATATTTGATATGTAATTGTTCAATATCACGTTAATTGTGCAGAATATTTTAACATTTCTGCAGAATAGTATAGGTGTTATTAAAATAGGTTTTTATGTCTCGCACCAGTCGCGGTCATAATGCGGTAACAAAAGAACCAAACATACGCGTCGAATTGAGAGCCAGTTTTCACTGTGACATCAATAAGAACGAAATATTTAAACGTACATAAAATATTAGCAAAAGAGACGAGTACTGCCGTATCGTGACTCGGTATACATTACTTCACCGCATCTGAATATTTACAAATACCATCGGAGCTGTTAACCTTAACAGCGCAACATCGTGCATTCAGTGCAGCGTAGGTAATTGGTAATCCAAGTGGTTGGGGAACGGCGACTGTCTGAGATACGCCAACGCATAAGTATCCGCGAATGAGCGGCGCGGACGCGGTTGCAGAAAACTGCGCCGGCGCCACCGCCACGACCACCGTCCGCCGCTCAAGGTGTGGACCTTTTCGAAAGTCAAATCGAAATCGGATTATCGGCGGCCCCACCGTCCCAAACTCGCATACGCAGCAACATTCGCAACGCCTGTTTACAAAACATAAACTGGTGTACTCACCTGTTGAAATATTTCAGAGGTCCAAGCCGCTGCGGATTCCTCGTAGGTGTCTCTTGTCAAGAGAGAAGTCCGGTTTTGCATTCACGTACCGAAGCACGATCACACTGCGTGAGAGAAAGGACGCGCAACTCGCTCACAAGTGAACACTATCGCGTGTTGTGCCTCGGCGGTTCTTAGCAAGAGTGGGCGTCGCGAAAGCGTGTTGGCGTTCGCGGGACTCAGCTTGAACTGAAGGCCGCGAGGCGCGGGGGCCACTTTATGATAGCGCGAGCGCACCCCGCCGACGCCTGCGCCGCCGACGGACGCAGCCTGCGCCCGCGCAGCACATCTCGGCGGCTGTCCTGAAAACTCCTGAAAGATTCGAAACAATTAATGTAACTTCAGGAAACAGATATACAAGCATGAAAATAAGATTTTCAATGTTTTTAATTTATAGATTCATGTTTGGTTAAATTTCAGTACCAATTCCAACTGGAATTAGAATTATATTTATTTAATAACTTGATTACTGTTATATATTTTTATTCTGAAATATACTGAAACATTCTCCAACTGTAATTTTACCTTTTGTTTCATAAAAAAAATCTTAACTAAATTAGTATGAGATTAATCCTTAAAAAGGAAGAATAAAAAAGTAAAATAAATAAAAAAAGATGTTGTGAAACAAACACAAAATAATAAATATAAACGTTAAATACGTTAGTTGAAAAGAATGTAAGTCGTATTTTTAAAAAGAGTTTCTGCTTTGAATAAAAAACAGAGAGTCCAAATAAACAATAAATGATTCCATTTCTAAATAATTATGTTTAATTAATTATTAATTAACAAACAACTCTGAGCTTAAGAATTCTGTTTGTGAAGAGACCAGTAAGAAAATTGTTTAAGGTCCATCCACACTTGTCAAAGCCTACATGTGTTGATTAATATCACACCAATTAATTACATTCTATCTGCATCCACCAGTATGATTCCGTATCAATGCTTGGCGAAAATTAACTAAAGAACTAAAAGATTTCTATAACGGACATTTGTTGAACAATTAATCAAAAATAACAATTCAACAATTGCTCATCATTACTTTTTTATACACTGTATTAATAATGTTATATACGCTTACACTAATAATAAAGAGAGATGAGCAATTAGATATATATATTCAGCTTGAAATTTACACAACACTGAAGTGTGAACGTCAGTGGTAGTGAAAATTACGAGCATACTTATGAAAATTGCGTCATGTAAATATAAAAATTATAATTATAATTTTTCACTATAATTATGATCTGTTTGTATTGCTATGATAAAATACTGATGTGTGCGGATAGCGCTTTTACCACTTTCAACCCTAATAAGATTTTTTGTACAACTTATAATGACAAACAATTCGACGATCTACCTGACGGAAAGTGGTAACCGTCGCCTATGGACATGAACAGCATCTTGGCCAACACAAAATATACTGAGACGTCGACTGGTATCCCTCACGCGTTAATATTCATGAAGACTATGCGATTCTGTTTCCATACATTATATTTTTAGAGCCCTTCAGACTGAAATATAATTATATTAACATGGGAAATAGCTTCCAATTGGCATATCTAGAAAAAGCAACTGTATCATTGCCCGTTATTTTGTAGCATACCATTGAAAAATATAGATTAAATTTCAAAATATGATACTTGACCTATATTTAACTGTGATTTAATCATCAATTGAATTTTTAGTATCTATAATGACGTGAGATGTTATGAAAATTTATAGGAAAAGACCCAGAGTCGTGTGTTCAAAACAGATAATATTACAGTGAATCATAATTAGGTATCAACATACGTGTGCAGTGCTGTTATATATTTAAAACAATTAAAATATTGATGACTAATATTCACTTCAGTTTTATTAATAATCTTTTTACTCTATAACTTTTACAAAAATGAGATGACACTTTATTGTATCAGTTACCCAATTGGCATCCCATAAATGTGTCCATTACGTAGTATAAATATATATTGTACTCCCTAAAAAATAAACATATCCTTTTTTTTAAATTATACAAAATATATAATTAATTTATTAATAAGTATGTAATATTTTTTTAAAGATCATCCTCATCAATCACCACTACTTTTTCACAATATTAAATAATTACAGAATTTGGGACTTATAGTGTAGTTTTCTTTTTTTTTTCTATTCAACTGTTATTGTAATTGTTGTACAATCCATCTTAATTGTAATTTTTTTTAAATAATCTTTCGCATAATACATACATCTATTTCTTTTTAGATCCACCATAACGATTGTTATCATCTAAATTCATACGCAATCTCTTTCCTAAAAAGATTCTCGTAATCATGGCTTTGAAAGAAAATTATTTTTTTAGCTATTAAGTGAAAATTATTTTCTTATTTTTCCTGAGCCTCTACCAACAAAAATTGTTATTTCGTAATTTTCCTGTTACGGGCGTCATTTTCAAACTTTCTTTGGTATACTCATACTAAATTATTGTATCCATACCAGTCAGTAACGTTATATTTTATTAATATTAATGAAAAAATTTTTTTCATTCGTTACCAATCTAAGCTTGCACACTGATCCAATACAGAAACATGTTCACGTCAATTTTCCGGGGGATGCGTGAATAACACACTTACCTTAACCTGTCATCATTTCATCCAACCTGCAATTTCGGTATTCCGCATCGATTTACAGGAACAATCCGAGGTCGACACTTGGGATTGTATCAAATAAGATAGTATACGAAATCTATAACTGTAGAGACAGTAAAAAACATAACCACAACATTTAATTAATTCCTGTGAGTATTAAATATATAAAAAGACATAAACATATATCAATCATCAAAGGCAGATATTATACAGAAGTAGACTACTGTTCCTCCCGTATGTCTTTTGGCTGGAATAGTTTTTCGGTTTGAAGAATGGGATATGGCAGGATCTGGAGATATAACACCACAGTCTACAAGATTAGCAACACATGAGGAGTAGTATGGGCATCACAACGTGCTGTTCATGTGTATGGATGAGAGTTAACATTTTCTATCAAATGGGATGTCAGCTTATTTGCTATTCTATAATAAAAAAATTGTTTTTTAAATTAGGAACTTATAGCACTACTAACTAAAATTCCGCAAAACAAAACATGGGTGGCTGAGACTTCTGCATCAAATGAACAAATAAGTCTATATACGCGATAATGCATTTTTAAATACCACTGGACGTATTTATGAATATCAGCCGTTAACTGTCCGCTGTTGATCATAGCATATGGAAGAACCATGGATGGGTTTGCCAGTAGTTATCATACTTGGCAGGCGGGTTGGAAACCACAGTTATATTGTGTTTATGTTTTAAAAGAGACGCTGTTATCTTTCCCTCGACAATTAGATCGCCTTAGTCACCTCTTATGACACCCATGAGAAAAGAAAGAGTGATCTATTCTATGCCGAGATTACATGACTATAACTAGATGCATTACAGCGCTATCTAGCTCTTTACTGAACATGTTTGTGTTACGAGCTCTACATTATTGATTGGATCGTGATCCATACTCCGCGTGCCCCGCGTTTCGTCTCTGTGAATTATCCGACTGGGACTGCAGCTGCCTCGAGTCGAGCGGCAAGGGCGGCCATTTCTTAACAAATTGTTCGTCTCTTGCCATTCTATCCTCCCGTAGTGATACTTTATCCTTCAAAAGTCCACCCTTCTCACTTCTCCACTCAATATCCCCTTGACTCCATCAGAGACCCACAACGCTCGCGACATGGCGCAAAGGGGACACGCCCGTGACGTCTCCGCGCGATATATTGTCAAGAAGGATCTATTAGATACCTCTAAGTCCTCAATTGTCTCCCCTTCTATCCTGAGCTTAAGCTCACACCCTATCGGAATGGCCGCATAATAGGAACTCGAGACAGGTACCTATGTTTATAGCGCCTAGGAACTCCCCTCAGTCCTCTCGCCTTCCCAGCAGCGCTAGCAAGCGGACAGTGCCACCCACGTCGTCGTCGTCCTCATAAGATAGTGTTTCGCACGATGACAAAAGGGTGTATACTGAGACTTTTCCCTCACCTTCGCTCTCACCTTCGTGCACCTTGTCACCCCTTTTCCCTGCATCCAAACCCCGTATCCGCATTGCTACGGATACCGAAGCATCCACACATGTTGCACATATTCGGCGTTATCACCGGACACCGCTATAACATCGGGTTCCCAGTTACCGATGACGATGTTTCTGTGAGTATCATTAACGTGTGTTGTGTCTACCATAAAAAGGGTTGACATTCAATGTAATTTAATATCAGTGGGAGACTTTGTACAAAAATCGTCTGATTGGGTAACTTTGTCCTATTTATGTTTCTGCCGTGAAGTAGTTATTTGCATAACCGTGTTTCAGTTTGAAGGGCCCGATATGATACTGAAATTACAGGGTACCATGAACGACACAGTATACTCTGTTATGTCTATTATTGATACTCCTCTCCCCAGCTAAGCCTCCCATCTCTCTACTAGGAAGTTCTTTACCTTTTCCGTTGTCACCTTCGTCGCCGGAACGCCTGCTGACCCCCATCAGGTGGGGAGAAAGTAATTGTTAGTAATGGGGCCTAACTCACCCAATGCTAGTAATACACCCTATTAGGTCGACCATCATGGTTGGTTCTAGTGGAATTCGTCACGATAGGCTAACTGACCTGCTTTCATCGTCATCTATCATCCCTCAATGGTGCCCCACCAGCTTATACCGTTAGCGCAGGCGAGGTTACCATTCTATTATTACCCATTAAAAAAAAGACCCCCATCAGGTGGGGGAAAGGGATTGTTTTAATGGCATCTAACATTTCCATTGTTAGCAATGTTCCCTGTTAGGTCGACCTAACCCGGTTGGGATATTTCACATGAACATTATGTCCTAATTTAGTATCCGATCAGGAACTCCGTCCCCATCCCGCAGGCTCCCCTCTTCTCCCTTCTCCCTACCTGTTCTAACTCAAAAGGAATCATGTCGCACGTACAGGCAAGGCGACGTGACCTTCGGCGCCCATCCTCCGCCAAACACTGAAGAGTCGCGTCGGTTCACGGAGCGACCCAGCCACCACAACCTCCACCGGGTAAGTCATACCCACATTTCGTGGCCGAGTGCTTACCCAATTGGCAGGTACATTTGTAGGAGCAGCAACTTGGTCACGTGTCAAACGTATGCCCCTTCGACACCAGAATACGATTTA